GCTTAAACTGTTTCATGGCTCTTCCAATGCACCATTCGAGTACTCCTCACCAGCAATAGTGGATGCTCCATTTGATAACCAGTTTGTGCTGTTGGAATTTGAAAATGTGGAGTATGTAGATGCAAGGCACATTTTCCACTCATTGTGTTCCTATGTAGTCCCTATATATGAGTACATACATTATGTATTCGGTAAATTCTTATACTTTAGGAATTCACTTTTCGATTCATTAGAAATTTGTTTAGTCCCTATATTTATTTTATACCTATTTATTATGGGGATTGGCCCTATTTACAGACTCTAGTAAAGATGTTCTAATACATATCATAATCTCAACAATACACAAAGAAGATTAAACCGAACACTTTTTGGTCTTGAATATTGTCATGCGTTTTTTTTTTTTTTTAGCAACCAAAAGAATTGCTAATTAATTGTGGGAATTTAATTATTTTGCAGTTGTGTCATTTTATCAGAGTGATGAAAAATAGGGGTGGGCAAATGGATCTTGGACCCCGGGGGGTTCTAGCGGTTCGAGCCGGGTTCGAGGCAGTTCCATATATTTTAAGGAAAACTAATGAAAATGGTTTGACAACTTTGAGTTTTAACGATAATGATAAAATAAAAGGTAAAGTGAATAGTACCAAGATTGACTTTTTAGTATAAAAATGTGGTTTTTCGTTAAAGTGAACAGTACCGGGAACTTTTCGTTAAAGTTCCCTATATTTTATACACAAAAACGGGATGGGACGGATTGGGTCTGAATGAATGGCGGGGCGCGGTAAGTACAAATTTCTGAGGACATGAGGCCCCCACCCGAACCGTACCCACTGTCTAATAATGGAGATTAATTCTTCACCGTTCAATTCTCACACACACATACAATTCTCACACACGTACTGTGAGGACCTGTATTTTCAAAAATAATTATATATAATTATGTGTTGTATATACTTATTAATTTCAAAAAATTTTGTATTACTTCTTATTTAATCGTTAATTCCTTTATTTTATTTTTCTGTACTCTAATTTACTATTATTTTGAACCAAATAAGTTTAGTACACCATTACGGTAGTATTTGAACTATATATTCATATTATTCATTTTCTTTCCTTTTACATTATTTTATTAAGCTGTTTGTTCTATTCTAATTGGACCAAAACCATAGCCAATTAAAGGGCTTTTACATCATTCCTATCGATAGCTTTTAGGCGGCGTAAGTTTGCTTGGTCTGATCTCACCTTCCTCTGTGCCGACTTCCCTCTCCTATAAATAGAATGTTATTGCTTCGGTTTTCTTCGCTGGGTAGGTGAAACGTTTTCTATCGGGGTCTACTCTCTCTCAAGTTTAAAAAGTTTTCATTTCTAGGTTTTCGTCTTAGTTATTTGTCTCATATCTTTGTATGTTATTAATAAATTATAAATGTTTGTATCTAAACTAAAAAGGGGTTGTTAGGCATCGTTATGCATATGTATTTGAATTCGTTCATACTGCTGATTTAGTTTTATAGAAAAATCTTTCTATTCATGTTGTTCTTTAGTGATAGCCTCTTATGTTCTGTATTTTGCATGTTACATAACAATACCATGTTGATTCCTACTCTTTGAAAGGCACTGAACTTTAGGAGACTTGGATGCTGCTCTATTGCAAAGAGAAGAGTCGAAGCATGTACTGCATATATATGTATATGTATGGATATGTGTCTATTGTTAAATGAATAAGCATGTTGGTAAATGGTTTTATGTACAATTTAATATATACATACTACTTGAATGGTTTTTAAGGCAAAAGACTTTTGAATAAGCACTATACATGTTTGCTATATACGAAACTATTTTGTACAACATTATAGTCAACCAAATGACTTTTGAATTGAGTAGCGTGGAACTGATGAGTTTTAAGTATGTTAATTAGTATTAAAATTCATATAAGGCATTTGGTAATTTTCTTATACTTGTGAATAGGAGCTTATAACAGTTGTGGTTTCTTGTGTTATTATCTCAGAGCAATGCTTTGAAATCCAGGTAGGGGAAATACGGCAGACCTTTACAGAGATTGATCTTATTAAATTTCGTGAAGTGTTATATTATTGTTAATATTGATTGACTGATTGGGGTTGGATGATAATTGGTTATATGTGTATCATTGCTTGATTCGAATGTTCATAGAGTTGTAATTGTGAACTGTTGTTGGAGTGGTGTTTCATTGGTGATAATATGTGGAATATGAAATGAGATTAATTGTGCATCATTCATGATGTGTTATGTGATTGGAGTTTTAGTGTTGAGAAAGAATTGGAAATGAAGGTAGTTGGAAAGGATCTTTTGTGTAGTTGAGCCAAACTCTTAGCAGGTACCAGGTCTCAGGTGAGTCCACTGTGCACAGATTGTTTAAGGGTAATTGGGACTGGCAACGAAGGGTTTTGGCAAGATGACTAACAAAAGGGGAAATCGGGATGATTGAGTTACAAGGGGTTAATTTGTATATTAGAACATTTGAACCACCACTGCAGAGGTAAAATGCATGGTATAGGACGTGCAGGTCCGCGTGTTTTATTATATAAATTAACGGGGGTAATTGAAGAGGTTGCATTGCATTCATGCATTATTAGCAATAATGATTTGATATTTGGCTATATGATTTCATGACACTTAATTTAATATTGTCAATTACTGTGATAAGGTTATGTCCCTACTGAGCGATGTTGGTTGTTGCTCACCCCTCACCTATTATTTTACAGATGAGTTATTTGGCAAGACAGGTGTTAGAAGAGCTGAGGTTGTGATTAAGGAGAAGTTTAAGGATTATAATTTATTATTTTTGTACATCCTGTAAGGATTATGAAGTTATTTTAATAAGAGGAGTTTATTTTTCCAACCTGTGTCAATTTCCTTTAAATTATTTTAGTCTTGTAAAGAATTATCAATTTCTTGTTATAAGAGGAATTTCATATTTTCTCAACCAGTTTCACTTTCCTTTTATTTAATTTATTTTTTTTAGCTTGCGCGCCGGATTCAGGTTTGAGTTTTTCCTATTGACCCCGGGTCTGGGGCATGACACGTACACATACAATTCACACACACAGTTATGTTAGTTCACTTTTTCTGTTTCTCAATCTCTCCCTCCTAGACTGAATCTCCACAGCTCAATTCTCCCTCTCAAATATAATCGTTGATTCTGAGACTCAGTGACTCTCCTCTTTCTCGATCTCTCTCTCTCTCAAACTGACTGACTCTCATCCCTCTCGAATCTCGATATCTGAGCTCCCTCCCTTCTGAAGTTGACTCTGACCACCACCACCACCAACTCCTCTCAACTCCAACATCCACCTAACGGTCTATCTCTCAAAAGGTATTCAATTTTTGGGATTAGGATTGAAAAATAAATTAAGATTTTCTAGATTTTGGGACTTCGGGTTCTTGATCTGCTGCTTGTGCAAGAGTTTCGAATTTGGTTTGCTGCTAGTGTATGAATTTTGAATATTTAGATTTTGTGCTATTGGAGAAGATATGATAGAGTTATGGAGAAGAAAATGGGTGGAGATGTAAAGAGAAGTATGCAGACTATGTATAGGTTTTAGATCCAATAGACAGGACAAAGAGCTTTATCACTGGAAATCTGTGTTTGGCGTTTTCATTGCTCTGCTACACCAGTAAAACACAATTACTGCAACATGCAAAATAAGAATAGGCTACTTCTCTATTAGTTTTACACTTTTATTTAAAGAATTAATCTTTAGCCGTGTGTGTTAATTTTTCCATCTGATTCATTTCAAGTTTGTTGTTTTTTAGTGTTGGATGCTTGGATAAAAGATTCATGTTTAGACTAGAAGATTAATTTTTCCATATACTTCTCCATTATTTCATCATCTATACACAAATTAAAAAAAAAAAAATTACAATTAGATCCGCGAACCTGGTCCGAACTGGCCCGTTTAAAACAAGCCAGGTTCGGATCGGTTCTAGGTTTAGAAATTTAATTATCCGCCCCACCTTGCCCCGTTACATTTTAAAACGAATCCAGTCCGGTTCCTCCAAATTTGGGCCTAGCCCGGCCTGTGCCCACCCTTAACGAAAAACAATCTTGTTTTTTTTTTTGCAGATTCAATTCTCACCAGCTTTCGTTTTCTCTAACAACTAATTGTCCAACCCAATAACGATTTAGCTCTACTAATATTATATATATATATATCTGTAAAATACCCATAAGAGTAGACTGAGAGCTTTAAAATCGTAGAATTTTCAAAGGTGTCAAAATCGTGGAATTTTCAAATTTAATCAATATACGTTGTTGGACGAAAACATGAAAAGTGACTAGCATATTTCCAAAAACTAATTCAGTATTATAAAGTTCTTAAAGAATTTTTATTTTCATATCTAACATAAGAGTGATGTTATTTAGACATTAAAAATTAACATATTTGCTCTTATACTTGTAATATATAGGTGAATACCACATACATTAGTGGGACTCCTCTACATTAAAAATATATCATCAAATGTGTCAGATTTTTGCATTAAATAACGTTATTAAAAATGAGATTCAGAACTAACTTTAAAAGGTTCAAAACTTTCCACTCTGGTTCCCGTTCATTGGCATGGGAATGTAAATTGCAAGCACACAAAGTTGGGAAATTATTTGGTATGCCCGGAATACGAGATAGTATAGCACTTGTGATTTTATACATGTTCCTCCACTTGTATAATGACATGTGATGTACCACCCGGTATTCCGAGCACCGAGCACATTGAAAAATTTATTCAACAATGTTAAGATAACCAATCACCCAACATATACGCAAACGGTCCTAGATGCAGGTCAAGGCTACCGTGTTCAAGACTTCTATCAAGTCTTTCATCACTTTTTCCACTCTTGAATTTTGATGAAAGCCTCGTTCCAATTCATGCATCCTTGCCATATATTGACGTATAAACAATACGCTTTGGTAAATTAGGAGATAAAGTCATGCATCATAAAACAGACTGATCATCGACAGCGAGAAATGGAGAGCAATATGGTTGTTAAGAGCTCCATTATTCACAGTGGTGCCAAGGGCTCCATTATTCACCGTGATGTTAAGAGCTCAACCATGTTATTGGATGAGAAAATGGTGGCCAAGGCTTCGGATTTTGGGTTGTCAAAAATGGTTATGACCAACACGTTCAAAACGCACATCAGCACGGTGGTGAAAGGTAGTTTCGGGTATCTAGACCCGGAATACTTCCTACGTTAAAAGCTGACTAAGAAGTCTAATGTGTACTCATTTGGAATGGTTTTGTGGGAGATATTGTATGCAAGGCCAGCTCTGCTGCAGACGGTTGAGACTAGGCAAACCAACCTCGCTAAGTGGGCCAAGAGTTGTCATGAAGACGAGACACTTGACCAAATCATTGACCCAAATGTGAAGGGTAAGATTGACGTCGAGTGCTTGAACAAGTTCGTTGAGATTGCTATAAGTTGCTTACATGATAAAGGAATCGAATGACCGTCGATGAATGATGTTGTAGGGAGCTTGAGTTTGCATTGCAGCTTCATCAAAAAAGCATTGGAAGTAAAGGTGACAATGATGTTGCCTTTATCAACGGCAACGGTGACAAAACCAGTGGTACCGAGCAAAGTTGTGCTACCAATGAATCCAACAATATATATATGTGACAATCTTCTCTGAGATCAACGTAACGAATCATTTTTTGAGTAGTTGCAAGTGAGCCTTATTTTATTAGTAAAGTCTTGATCTAGAAACCAATAGTACCGAGCAAAGTTGTGCTACTAATGAATCCAAACAATATATTTCTGTGACAATCTTCTCTGAGATCAACAAAACGAATGGAAGATGATGAGCAACATTTTACAAAACACGAGCAATATTCTGAAAATGCTATCTCAATAGGATTTATGTATATGTGTATATTGTTGGAAATTATTGGTGTATATGATACTTTGTAGCTTTATCAATCACAATGTAGTCTTATATGATTTAGCCATCATTCTTTATTTTCGGTTAATAAACTTATATTCATTTTGTGTTTGTTTGATAATCCGTTTATTAGTTTGTTCGTCTCGTATTCTAATTTTATGTGAGAATTTGATTAAGTGCAATTTTTTGTTTATGTTAACTTTTTTAAATTAACTTCACATTATGTTGACTTAAAATATTTTTGTGAACATTTCAGGAAAAAAAGTCAAATTTAGATACTAATTTGTTTTTTTTCACAAGCGTAACTAAAATGACTATATTATTGAAGGTTACCACCACGAGAAAAATATTAAAAGGTTATCACCATCTTTCTCGAATTTGTTGAAAAGGATTAAAAAAATATATAATTAAAGGCCATATCATTATCATATTCTTAGAATCTTTTGAAAAAAAAAAAAATCTCCCATCATGCTGGAATCCGTTAAAAAGTAAAATATAAATAATAAAATACCATCACCCCATCTTCCGTTAAAAAGGTAGTGGCCATATTTTCCACTCACTGTTGTCCTTATGCAATCTTTTTACATGGGTACATATATTCTGGATCCGATTAGATTTTAGATATTCATTTTGTCGTTTTTTGTACTTATTTATTATAAAAAGGCAGATTGTCTACCATCCTATTTGGGTGTCATTCTCATCCCTTTTTATTTGTGCAGTCACGGTTAAACTATGTTAACATTTTATATTCCTATTGTTTTTTGTCTTATTTTCTCTATAAAAAAAAATCAATATAAAATGTTGACGTGACTTAATCGTGACCGCACAAAATAGGAAGGGATGGGAAGGGCACCCAAATAGGAGGGCAGACAATCTGCCTCCTTATTACAATGGTTGTCCTTATTTAGAGTTTCCACTGGAGATGCTCTAATGCATGTCAATAATCTCTTTATGGTTTGAATTGATAGCGGCGAGAGAGGGTCTCTACTAGGCTACGCAACAGAATTTACAGTGCATTATCTTGCAGGTTGTTCAAGGGGTTGGAAGTTTGAAGTGAGGGTCCTCCTCTTTGGATTTATTGTTGGATGATGTTCGGGAGAGTCTAGGAGGTTTTGGGTCCTCCAAAATTTGTCATATTAGTCGTTCCGCCAATGGTGCAGCTCATAAAATGGCCAAGTTGGCCTTAGATTTTTCTTCTAGTTTTCATTGGTTCGAGGAACCTCTGGATTTAACCCAGGGTATCTTCTTGATAATATTAAAATCGCTATCGTTTCAATTTGAAAAAAAAAATATATACACACACACACACACACACACACACAAAGAAGATTAAACCGAACACATTTTGGTCTTGATGGATCTTTGAAGAATATTGCCATGTGATTATTATCATTTTTTTTTTTTTTGACAACCAAAAGAATTGCTAATTAGTTGTGGGAATTTAATTATTTTACAGTTGTCATTTTACAACAGTGATGAAAAACAATCATGCATGTGTTTTTTTTTGTGGATTCGATTCTCATCAACTTTCGTTTTTCCTAACAACTAATTGTCCGATCCAATAATGATATAGCTCTACTAATATTATATACATATATATATATATATATATATAATACCCATAGGAGTAGACTGAGAGCTTTAAAATCGTAGAATTTTCAAAGATGTCAAAATCGTGGAATTTTCAAATTTAATCAATATACGTTGGACTAAAACATGAAAAGTGACTAGCATATTTCCAAAAACTAATTCAGTATTATAAAGTTCTTAAAGAATTTTTATTTTCACATCTAACATAAGAGTGATGTTATGTAGACATAGAAAATTAACATATTTGCTCTTATACTTCTAATATATAGGTGAATACCACACATATTAGTGGGACATCTACATTAAAAATATATCATCAAGTGTGTCGGATTTTTGCGTTAAATAACGTTATTAAAAATGAGATTCAAAATTAACTTTAGAAGGTTCAAAACTTTCCACTCTGGCTCCCGTCCATTGGCATGGGAATGTAAATTGCAAGCACACAAAGTTGAGAAATTATTCAGTGTGCCCGGAATACGAGATAGTATACCACGTGTGATTTTATACGTGTTCCTCCACTTGTATAATGACATATGATGTACCACCCGGTATTCTGAGCACATTGAAAAATTTCTTCAACAAAGTTTAAGATAACCAATCGCCCAACATATAAGCAAACGGTCCTAGATGCAGGTCAAGGCTACCGTGTTCAAGACTCCTATCAAGTCTTTCGTCACTCTTTTCCACTCTTGACTTTTGATGAAAGCCTCGTTCCAATTCATGCATCCTTGCCATATATTGACGTATAAACAATACGCTTTGGTAAATTAGGAGATAAAGTCATGCATCATAAAACAGACTGAACATCGACAGAGAGAAATGGAGAGCAATATGTTTGTTATTTTTGGTGTATTTGTGGCAATGTTTGTGCAAAGAGTGGCAACACAGAAAGTGCATGTGGTGGGGGATAACATGGGTTGGACTATTCCAGTATCTGGGGCACAAGAATATTTAAATTGGGCTGCTACAAACAACTTCACGGTTGGTGATACACTCGGTAAGATTTTCCTCTCCTGTTACAAATATGTCGCTCGCTTGTATTATAATTTAGAATTCTTGAACATGACATATATATTATATTGTGATTTTTTGTCATTAACTCTTTTGTGCTGTGATACCAATTATTAAATAAAAGTATTTGTGCTCTATTTACTCATTATATTTCTCGTAGATGCATGTGGTCTAATATCCTAGTGATAGGGTGTTAGGTTTATAGCTAAATAACCCTATAATTTTGTACTCACAAAATTTCAATAACTCTCCATGCCAGTTTTCAACTTCATCACCGGTGTAAACAACGTTGTCCAAGTAACGAAGGCATCATTCCACTCATGCAACGAAGAAGAACGAATTGGCCCATCCCGCACAACTGGCCCAACAAACATCACACTCACCTCCGCAGGCGACCACTACTACATCTGTAGTTTTAGCAATCATTGCCAGGTAGGCATGAAGCTAGCCGTCATCGTATCCAGTGCTTCCCCAGAATTGCCACTGTCAAGAATAGTGCTCCTCATCCTTGGTGTAGTTTCTAGCATACTTTTTTTCGCTTTCCTCCTAGAGATTTTCCAACCACGACAAAAAGTCAAGTCCTTTGACTCCAACCATGGGAAGACAAAGTCAACAGAGACCCCGGGATCACCTTTACCGCTGTATCTGTGTCGTTACTTTCCACTGGCTGAGATTAAAATCGCCACCCAAAACTTTAACGATAATTTCGTTATTGGGGTTGGCGGGTTTGGCAATGTGTACAAAGGGTGGATTGACAGTGGTCTCACTGCTGTTGCTATCAAACGGCTGAGACCAGAGTCATCACAGGGGGCCCATGAGTTCAAGACAGAAATCGAGCTGCTTTCCCAACTCCGCCACCGCCATTTGGTTTCACTCATTGGTTACTGCTCTGATAATGGCGAAATGATCTTGGTTTATGATTACATGGCACGCGGCACTCTCGGTGACCATCTGTATCGCACTGGTAACCTTAAACCTCTTCCTTGGGAACAACGACTCCAAATTTGTATTGGCGCAGCACGAGGGTTGCACTACCTTCACAGTGGTGCCAAGGGCTCCATTATTCACCGTGATGTTAAGAGCACAAATATTTTATTGGATGAGAAAATGGTGGCCAAGGTTTCAGATTTCGGGTTGTCAAAAATGGGCACGACCAACACGTCCAAAACACACATCAGCACCGTGGTGAAAGGTAGTTTCAGGTATCTAGATCCGGATTACTTTCAACATCAACAGTTGACTGAGAAGTCTGATGTGTACTCATTTGGAGTGGTTTTATGGGAGGTATTGTGTGCGAGGCCAGCTTTGCTGCATACGGTGGAAACTAGGCAAATCAGCCTCGCTGAGTGGGCCAAGAGTTGTCATGGAGACGGGACACTTGACCAGATCATTGACCCAAATGTAAAGGGTCAGATTGAAGTCGAGTGCTTGAACAAGTTCGTTGAGATTGCTATAAGTTGCTTACATGATAAGGGAGTCGAACGACCGTCGATGAATGATGTTGTGAGGGGCCTTGAGTTCGCACTGCAGCTTCATCAAAAGAGCATTGGAAGTAAGGGTGAAAATGGGGTTGCCCTTATCAATGACAGCGGCAACAAAACCAGTAGTACCGAGCAAAGTTGTGCTACCAATGAAACCAAACAATATATATCTGTGACAATCTTCTCTGAGATCAACGAAATGAATGGATGATGATGAGCAAAGTTTTACAAAATGTGAGCAATATTCTAAAATGATATCTCGATAGGATTTATGTATAGGTGTATATTGTTGGAAGGTATTATTATTTAGGTTTATTTTAATGGTTGGTTTTTTGGGGCTTGCCCGCTAATAACAAAGTTTCGTTTCCCTGCCTATTTGGATTAGGTTAGTTTTCTATATATATATATACACGATACTTTGTAGCTCTATAGAATAATAAGTCAATTAAAATGTAGTACACTGTGATTTGTAGCCGCCATTCTTTATTTTCGGTTAATAACCTTAAATTCATTTGATGTTTTTTTGTTCATCCGTTTGTTAGTTTGTTTGTCATGTACTCTGATTTTCAACCTATATGACATTGGGTGACACTCAGATGCAACATCAACAACAATGGAAGCCGAAAGATGCAACAAGAAGCCAGCAAGGAACGGAACTATGAAACACTTATTGTCAACTGACTTTTGAATTCATACATGAAATTTCAAATTTTGATGTTTTGAATCACATTACGAAGACTACAACAGACTTTAGCCATCATAATTAACAAGGCTTAGTTAACAAAGCTTGGATTGGGTTTTCGTATGTGTAACATAAGTTCAGCAAACAATTAGAATTTGGAAACAAAATCAACTTTTATCAGATTCAGAATTATCATTCAAGATATGATCAAGAATGTTATATACAAGGCGCTCTTCTTCGTACTGAAAAATGGATGTCATCACATAATTTCTGCAGTTATATTATGTCACAGTGGACTAACCAACAGACTGCTATTCAAAATTTGGCTTCACTTTCCACTAACATCACGACCTAAGCAAGTATGCAAGATCCATTGCATCCAAGTAACTTGGGGAGCTCACCAGTGCTTAAACTGTTTCATGGCTCTTCCAATGCGCCATTCGAGTACTCCTCACCAGCAACAGCGGATGCTCCATTTGATAACCGGTTTGTGCTGTTGGAATTTGAATATGCGGAGTATGTAGATGCAGGGTTTCCCCGTGAATTCCGAGTCTGTGCAGCCGTGCTACTTCTTGTCACCTTGAGGCGAGCCTTTCTACCCTGTGGTGGAGCAACATATCACAATATCTATTAGTCTCTCGTTTAAGGACTTCACAAATAAAAACTGGGGGAATGTCTACTACATGAAAAGATGACAGATAATTACCTTTCCCATACACTTCTCCAGATGAGGAGCAAACCTCCCAGCCACGATAGACCGACCACAATTCATGCACTCAAACACTTCACTGGCTACAGAAGGATGATTCTGCCCAAATATGTCAACCACGTACTTACCATTTGCTTCACCACTATTACTAGGATCAGCTACCCTCACCCGTGCTTGGGCCGAAAGCCTTAGTTCTTCTTCCTCTTCTTCAAAATTACGATCAAGACCCAACTTTGCTATTCGATGACACTCAGATGCAACATCAACAATAATTGAATCGAGGAGGTCCCCAAAAACATGAGACGAAAGCTGCAACCACAAGCCATCAAATTAGGAAATTATATTGTCAACCGATTTCTACATGCACACACGAAATCCACCGGTTTCTTCCACTATGATAATCAAACTCATATCTTTAGTTCCATCAATTTGCTCATCTTGACAAAGAATTTGGTAAACGGTAGAAGACAACCCTTTTATCATGGGCATTTTCTGTTTCTCGAAAAGATGTGATCACCAAACCAAAGCAAGATATCTACAACTTAGTAGTACAGAATCACTTAGCCATTAGAATCAATAGAGCTAGTAATTTGTTCTTCCAAAAGGTCAAGAACGGATAACTGTGAAATCATCTACACATGGACAAAATGCATCTCATTGCATTATTTTTATCTTCATTTTTCTATTGACAAGACACTACTCTAAACTACTCTAATTTACGAGGACGAGGATACGAACTAGGCTGCAAAGGGGAGGCACAATATCTTCATCTCAATGCATTTGAACACATAACAACTCAAAACACACAAAAATTTTCCAACCCATTTTTCATACAGATTCAAACCAAAAGTTCAAAATCCCTCAACTTCTTCCGGGTCCAATACCGCCAAAACCCAAATGCAAAAAGAAACAAAAGGGTGTTGCTTTGAATGTAAAAGGGGAAATACCTGAGCATCGGGAGAAGAGGACATATCATTTTCTTCATTTGGAAGCGACATGAAGGAGCTAAATGGGTTTATAAACCTACCCAAAATACAGAAAATTTATTAGAATTCATCGCCAAACAAAAGAAGAAATTGTTTTTTGAAAAGCAAATTTGATATTAAATCAAGAATTTATAAGTGTATCAATTCAGAATTTATAAGTATACAGATCGTGGAATTGAATTGATTGAACTAAGAGAGAGAGAGAGAGAGAGAGAGAGAGAGGGAGAGGGAGGGACTTACTGATTGTTTCGAAGGGAGAGAGGGAAGTGATCGGAAGCTGCTCTGAGACTGAAGGTAGAGAGCGAAGAGATGCCAAATCGATGGAATTGGGATTTTGGGGAAAGAGAACGGAGCGTGATACACTGCGACGCGCTTGTTTCTGTTATTGTCTTCAACCTATCATAGCATGCCATCTGGTCCCCAAGCACTAAATTTCACCTATCGTTGCATGCCATCTGGCCAAAAGTGAAAAAATAATCCGAAAATACACTGCGACGCGCTTGTTTCTGTTATTGTCTTCAACCTATCATAGCATGCCATCTGGTCCCGAAGCACTAAATTTCACCTATCGTTGCATGCCATCTGGCCGAAAGTGAAAAAAATAATCCGAAAATACAAAAAGTTCCGTTGCCGGGAATCGAACCCGGGTCTCCTGGGTGAAAGCCAGATATCCTAACCGCTGGACGACAACGGATGTTGTTTGTAAGTTGACAAATAATTATTATCTAATGCCTGACCTCTCTTCGAAGAAATGAGGACCTTTTAATTACTCACAATCTCCAGGTCAATCGCATCCTATTAGACCCGGTTCGTCGGTCAGCGTTCTGCCCCTACATCTCGAGCCAACCAAAGCAAAAGTTAAGGCCAAAATATTTCCCAAAAGGACATAAAGATTTAAGACAACCTCAAAACTATAGAGTTAGCCAGAATCATCAGCAATTCCTAAATTCAAGCCATTTTAATTATTCCCCCAACTACCATTTTATTTGGGTTGACACAAATTTTACTGTCTACCTAATTAAAATTTTTGGATTGAAATTTTCTTGTTCCAAGCAATAATAAGGAGGTGAGCTATGAAAAATAAAATCTCAAATACCAAAAGTCACTCTTAACCACTTGAGTTATATGTTTTTCAATTAAACATGTTTTGTGCATTGAACTTTGCGTCGCATCAAAATTGGTCGAGAAATCTAAAAATTGGCTAGAGTGTGAATTGATTGCCTAATAATAAAAATAAGCTTGCATCTGTCGCATTGGCAACTAATAGAGGCCTAGTAGGTCAAAACAAGAGTAGCTTGAATTTTTAAAGTCTAAATTCTAAGTGGTAAGGTGAAAAATTAGATTGGAGTGTGAATTGCTTCTATCAATAATCTTAACTAAATTCGTCCAAAGAAAAACCAAACATGGGAATAGAAAAAGTGGTTTTTCTAATTACGATTTCCCTACACATTCAAAACCTGGCAAATATTCACTCTTGTGCGAGTTTGATCTCCACGATTTTCTCCTTCTTAACAATTAACTATATAACACACTAACGATATCGCTCTGCTAAAAAAAAGTTGACAAACTGATATCCGATAGATATATCACGATAATAAAGTAAATAAATCAAAAGATTCATAATTACATTGGATACTCGTTTGCTATATACTACAAGAATAGTGCTATCTACACACCTATTTTTATTTATGACACACTTCTCTCAATTTCGATCATCTGATCAAATGAATTAAAAAGAAGATCAATTGCAAAAAATTAACAAAAAAAATATATAAAGTAAAAATAAATATGTAAATAGCACGATACATACCGCAATCATTTCATAAATACCAATTTCTACTATCACCGCCTTATTTTTCATTTTTATTTTTTTGGAAAAATCACCTCCTTATTTTGAAATACTCAGTGAGGAGATGATAAGAGATATCCTTAGCCAATTGAGTCCACCAAAGTAAACGCCAACTAAAAGGCTTTCAAAAATATTGGGCTGAGAATGATGGACGGACCCACTAACCCATAAAATCCAACACAAAAAACAAGATTTGGATTAAGAAATCCTGGCCCACCAGGCCCATACCATCCTTGGATGGTTTGTCACTTGTCACTTGTCACACCTCAAAAATGTTATTGAAACATTTTTGACATTCGACGATTTTGTTCTTATATGGAGTAGTCAGACACTTCACACTTCCAACCAAAAAAAACAACTCACGTTTTTCTATTACGGTTTAATAATAATCTTCTTAACTAAGTAGGAGTTTAACTTTCGCATATGACAAATTCAGCACAAAGTTATTATAGTTAATTTGTTATGAGTCTTAATTTACCCTTTAGGGTAATGTATCATAGTATTTAGAAGAAGAAAATATTCTTTTGTGTGACCAAAACATTGTCAAACATTTTCTTATTACATGTGAATTAGTAGCATACACAACGAAGGAAGTAGCATACACAACATGTCCACGTGATAGAGAGATTTCTTAATGTGTCTGGAACACGGTCCGGTACATCAATTATCATAATACAAGTGGTTGGATATTTGAAAAAAGAAATTTCCAACCATTTGTATTAGGAATAGTCCATGTGTTTCATACATCCGGTCAATTTGATCCCCGTATTTTCAATTTGGCCAAAAATGTAATGCCATGAACCCCGTCAACTTCGTCTTCACTAATCTTTCAAAATCTTTGTTTACTTTCTAAGAAAATTGTAATCTTAAAAATTCTCGTGCATTTGATTTGCAAGCCTGTAAATAGATGTCTGCAAGACTATCTGTTGCAAAAATATTTTGAAGTCTCGTGGTCTCGAGTGCATTTAATGGATTTACAATGAAATTACATTTTCGTCTTAATTTTAATGATTATTTAACGGATTGTCTATGATTGGCTACACGAAGACCAATTTGGGCAAATTAGAAACACGGGCATCAAATTGACCAATAGAGTAAAACACTTGATCGTGTTAACATTTAAGTCTTTATATTATGATACTTGATGTACCGAATCGTGTTCTCGACTCACTAAAAAATTTCTCCATGAGACGGCTCCAGATCATTTCGTTACTGACAGGCATAAAAAATAAACCACCAATACAACTGTCTAGTCGCAATAACTTAGCAAGCAAAAGAGATTAGAAATTCAGAGATGAGGATGGTGACAGAAGCAGCAGCATGGGCACCTTCCATGGCTCCTACGCCTTCTTCCCCACAAGACCAAGACGGGATTCGCACCTTGCTTGACAGGCACTACGCCTTGCATGGAAAGGTCATGATGGTGGTTGTGATTCTTCTGTTTGCTGCCTTCATTTTCTGCCTTCTCGTGTTTTCCCGTCTCCGGCGAGCGAAGAATCGTCATCCGCGATCTTCGCTCGATGAAGACTCCAACGTCGTTCGGAAGCCGTGTAGTTGTTTTTCATCATGGTTTATGAAAAGGAGGGCAGATGAACATGGTGCAAGCTCAACAGAGTTGCCATTGAGGAGGTGTAGTAGTGAAGTTATAAGAAACCCTAGTTCATAACGTTGCGGTTTCAACCCACCTTTTTTTTCCTGTGCACGCGCTTGTTTATTTCTAGCCTTTGGATTGAATATATCGAACCAGAATAAGCGTGTAGAAATGAACAAAAATGTGCAAAAGGAGAAAAATGGTGTGCGGATATCATTCATGCTGTACTCGGAGAACTTTGCATAGGAGCTTTGGTGTCTGGGCTTTGTATGGCTAACATGTAATCGGGGATGTGGTTCTGATGAGAGCCTTCCATGTCGGTATCACTCTAAAATGTCTCTTTAACCCTTACAGCTTGTCTAAAGTAGGCTTATATATCTGTGTATTTATATGGTCTGAATTGTCAATCACCCACCAAAATATCTTTCTATTTTAATTCATGTTTTCTGGTATTATTTCGCTAAATTCATCTGCCTCCTTTGAGTTAGTAAAATGATTGATATCGAAAACTTCTTTCAAAACTTCGCCTCAAGGATTAAAGAGCGGCTCTTCATATCGAAGAACTTTGTTTCGTTTTTTTGTGCTCCTGCTACATGTATCTGTGATCTAAGCATTTTCTGGAACTCAAAAATGCTTAAACCAGAGTGGAAGATTGTGCAGCAAACATTTTCCGTTGATTTGTGGGCTAAATTAAGACTACATAGAACACATACAGAAAATGCATCGATGCACGCTGAATGCTTCAGATTACAAGAAGAAACAGAGTCTTCTTATTCATGCAGGAATGGTAAATAATATGCAATGTCATGAATTTTCACGAAAGAGAATCGCGGTTTCATTGTTTATTGATACGGTATTATTGTTACATATAGTCAAGCTAATAAACAATGCTAGAGTACACGTACAATACAACACACAATCAAGTTGGCCAATGGTTGTTCCCCGAACTTGCCTTCATCGATTTGCCTAATTTGGCTGCTATTTACAAGGGTTCCCCATATCAGAAAACCAAACTGCCAACTAACACAGAAGTAAGTGAAACTGTTAGGTTGTCGTCAAGCTCAGTGCTTATGGGGAGGGATTCTACCAGTGCCGAGGCAAGAGACACAACCAAGAAACCCAAAACCATGCCCCAACTTTCCTGAACAAACCCGAAGCTGGAGAAATAGTGCATGTACCTGTCACAGCATTACCAATTGTTAAGAAACATGCTAGATTCTGATATTCAATCCAGGTCTGAAAGAGCAGAAAAGTAAACCAGCAAAAGCTACCCGATAGATGTTAAAAAACCAGCAGATGCCATTGCAACACTACCAGCTATAGATTTGTTTCTGTTGTATGGAATTTTCTGAGTACCAAACCGCCTACCAACAATGTCAGCTAAACCTGAAGCAATCAAGTAATAGAAATTTGAGAGAAGTCCTGAGCAGTTCTGCTGTGAGATCTAGTGTTTTATTAAAAAAAAAGAAGTCCAAGAGAACAGAATGGACAAACTGAATCAATTAGATGTACCATCTCCAGCGCACAAATTGCATATAAGAGCAATTGCAATAGGAGAAGTTCTCCAATAGATTAGACAAGCCAAAGTTATTGTCGTGGCATAGTACAGTGGTCCCTTGAGAAGTTCCCTGATGCATAAAGTAAAGGTTAATTAAAAAATCATTGCATCGAACAAAATTTGTTTTTTGCCTTTGCTCATACATAGCTTTGTACAAATTTTGGTTCCTGCTAGCAGGTATTGCAAATTAGGTGGCCAATGAAGTAGTAAATAACCAAAACCTATTCCTTCTGTTGGCCAATGAGATGAAGCAATTTTTACTCTGGTCAAGCTAAGTTTTTTAGGAATTGTGGCATGAGATACTTGGGTCTTCCATCCGTCGTCTCTGTGTTAAATTATGGGATTCAGTTGTGAAGAAAGTAGAGAAGAGATTGAAAGGATGGTAGACTATAAGTTTTATCAGATTTGAGTTCGGGCTTTGTGTTGATTATCATCTCTCTCTTTACAGTTCTACGCAAAGTTACAAACATATCGGAAAAACTAATGAGACATTTCTTTTGGAATGTTTTGGTGAAGGGAAAAGAGGTCATATGGTAAGTTGGGAATTGAAACTTACCGCTACATTTGCCCTTGTTTTTTATATTATGTTAATAAAAATTATTTTGTTTTTCATAAAAAGAATGGGGTCAAGTAGCTGGGTTACTTCACAGCAAATTAGCAATGAACTCTCTACAAAGGACCAAAGTCAGTCATATTTGGGATCATGGCAGAGATATTCCACTTGACATGGTTGAAGTAACAGATCGTTCAAAACCACTACCTGTAGTCTCCGTATCTGCTCATTGATTTCACTGTGGCTTCATCTTTCCATATTCCAAGTCCCAATAGAAGCATTCGGAAGATATTGAGGCCTGGAGTAAGAGATGCTAAAAATGCTCCTTGAAGGCCAGAACTGCAATTGTACATAGTAGCTATTATTGAGCAGATTCATGAAGAAAAGTATTACGACTTTTTTAGTCAAGAGAGTACCTGAACAGTGGCCAGCAAAGCATGAAAACTAGGCCAATGCTCACGTGCACAAGCTTTCTATTGAGATTCTACATGAGAAAAAGTAACTGAATTCAAATGGGCAGGCTTCCAAGACAAGTTTAGTTGAGAAGGTTATGATCGACCACCTTGAATTATAATAAAACGTTATAACGATTAAGTTGAATCCAATGTCAAGATTTTGCCCATCAAAATACATATATTGGAGCAGAACCCAAGCTAGGATCAGATACCCTTCTCCTCTATCTGAACTGAAGAAGGCAAAAAGCCAAGCAAAAGTCTTAAAGTAATAAATTTACAAGACCAATGTATCATAATCAGGTTCTGACACAATAATTTGAAACCATTGCTTGCTATGTAGTATTATGTGCACATTTATGCTTAGAGGCCCCGAATAAAGCTGAGAATTTGATCAATGACGTACTGCATTAGACAAAACTGTAAGGCCCAATACAACTCCTGGATTGTAAGACCATCTAGTACATCCCATTCTCAACTGATCCATTCTCAACTGATCACTCCCTTGTTTGGGGTATAATGATCCATAGCATAAAAACGATATAACAAATCTAATTGCAATCATGCTATCAAAAGATGGTAATAGATAAGAAAATCTGAAAGCATTTTCAGCATGGATAACTACCATACAGAACCCCTAAACACTAACTGATCAAGTTTTAACAAAGTCATTCTTTAGTCTTTACTGTTAGAATGTGAAGAACATCCCAAAACCAATTGGCAATATGCAAAGAGGCTTAAGAGCATTTAAACTATCATCCATGACTACAATTCTGGGACGCGGGATTCACACTCTCAACATTAGCTATTGCTTATACCAACTACATTCACTTTTGCTGCATGAGGAATCAGCCTTGAGGCATGCTTTTGGTCCACTCTTCGCATCCATGGCGGCTTTAGTGGAACAACCAAGTACACTTCTTTGATACTCAAATATCAAACGGCCTCATTTGGAAATTGGAAGTGATCAGTAATTAGTGCACCAATTCAAAAGTGTTACAAATTTCAACTGTTAACCCATTTGTGTTAGAGTTCTTAATTGTCAGCAAAAAGATCAGTACTTTCCTACAAATCAATCAAAACCCAACAAAACCCACCAAGGCTAAGACCAAAAATAGCGTTTCCAAATAGAAACAGTACAAAAATACGTACAAAATACACATTATACGATTAAAGATGGGATTTTGACCTGGTCGAAGATCCCACGCTTGGCGGTTTCTTCCCACAACAGCAGGAAGAAAAGAGCAACGCCGCCTGCAATTAAGGCGGCGCAAATTTCAGCAACCACAGGGTTTTCTGGAAGCATAGTGGCGGGAGCTGACGTCAGTTGGCGGCGGCGAGCCCGACGCTCGGAGATTGTTGTGGTGAGTGGGAATCTGAGTGAGCCAGCGAGAAGAGAGAGGGTGGAAGTGTCTGAAATTGATTTGGGAATGAGAAGAAGAAGACCGAGTCTGGAGGTAGAAGACGATCTTGGAAGGCGGCCTACCTGGCAGAGGAAGGAAGGAACGTGGCCTGGTTATGGCGTCTATGGCTACTGGAACAAAGGCAAGGCAGGAGTGCATTTCTGCTCCAATGAAATGCCCCGAACTTGCGTCTCTTCACCGGCACTTGCTTTATTTTAATAAAACTGTTTGTTTGTTTGTTTGTGTTTTTTTTTTTTTTATCTCTTTGACCAAGAATATTTTTCTTAAGAAACCAAATAATGTCGAAATAAGAAATAAACTCGTTAACTAACATTTAATAATCTAAATATCATAATTTACATTATTTGATTTATAAAATTCAATTTATAAATTTGGTTTCCTTATCATTTCGTTTACAAAAGAGGAAACGCTGACATACTAAATTTTTTAAATCAAATTTACAAATCAAATAATGTAGTTGATAATTATATTATTATTTAAACGTTGATTAACGTATTTATTTTCTATTGATAATTTTGATCACTCTATCATTACTTGCTAAATAACATGCTTTGACTAATTTTTCTGACAAAAAAATAATGGAAGTGGTGCATCTAAATTAAAATGGAGTTCAAGCGGTAAATTGATAAATTTTTTAGCTTGAGTAGTGTTTGCGCACACTCCTAGTATAGTCCAAGTAGTATGTATATAAATTTCCCTTTTTTCATTGAGGAATTTATTTACTATTGTTTTAATACGAGAAAATAGCAATAAACAATTGTTACTTAAAAAAAAAAAAAAAAATTCTATCAGATTTCTCTCCCCCACTACTCCCTCTTCTTGTTTCTCAACATCTCATCCGACCCAAAATAAACTCTTCAAAAACTAACTCACATATGTGTCACTCCACCAGTACTACTATGAAGAGAAGTCTTTTAACAACCAAAAACCTATCCAAAAACTTACCATTCTAAATCGATTCGGCTCACGATTTTCAAAATTTTGAATTTGATCCAACCGAAGTAAGAACTCGTTTGGATGTACTGTTAAAATGACTGAAAGTGTTTTCGGTGAAATTTTTTTTTGAAAACAATCTTTAGTAAATATGCTAATAAATTATGGAAAAGCACTTAAAGTGCTTCCTGAAAGAAGCACATAATTAGTGCTTCTTATAAAAAACACTTTAAATGCTTTTGGAACTAGTGCTTCTTATAAAAAACACTTTAAATGCTTTTGGAACCCGAGAACATTTTTTCTAAAAACGCTTTTAGTCATTTTAAAAGCACATCAAAACAAGTCATAAATCACTCCATATAAAAGAACATATGCTCCTTCATAACAAACCTAGTAGTTGTTTGTTCCTCCTAATCTAAGTTCGCTTTTCCTTTCCCTTCACCAATGGTGCTACTCAATCCCTCAACCATCTTTTGTCTCTCTCAATTCTCATACGATAGAATCAACAAGTATGATACCAATTCAGTTAGATCTGATCGGATCTAAATAGTTTGGTCAGTCGCAGCCGCACGATACTATTCTTTCTCATCTTAGATCATCCAAAATCATTAGAACTGACAACCCGTTCTAGAAACCATCAGTCTGGTCTCGTTTGGTTGTCACAATTTTTATTAAGAATGATCGAACAAAACCAAAATCGTCCATGCATGGTAGCGCTTTGGTCAGTGGTTGAGCAGCGGAGGTAGGGTGAACCTTAACATGGCCGCTCCCTTCTAAATATGTACAGAAATTTTTAGGGTTAAGAAATTAATAAACCTCGAATTAAAGGGTTTCAGGTTTAAGTTATGTTTCCTTATTAATGTAAAATTTATGTAGCAACATCTATACGTAGGAGATGTTACCTACATTGTCAGAAGTGGATGTTAGAATACCCCAATGATCCCTCGCTCGCCACATAATCCAGCTTCTAAGTCTTGGAGGCAGAGAACATAAAGTGTGAGGGACAAAAATAATGATTTATTTAAAACCTTTGGTTTTTGTAACATAGTCACTCCTCGTTGTAAAACCCGTATAGCTTCGAAAATCATACTACGTATAAGTATGAAAACCAAAGTAAATTGTATAAAAACAATTATGCTAAGGGTACGGGTAAATCACAAATATCTCAACAACTTAATATAATATGCTCATCTAAATTATGCAGACACACAAACACATGCAGAAAGTAGCTATATAAACAGACTAGTATAATAATCTACTTTTTAGTACTACATATACATGAAGCTAGTGTTCAACGTGTCAAATACAAGTCCTAGATGCAAAGAAATTAGTGCAGTCTAACACCTACAATGTATCCATTATGGGCGTAACTGTACGATGTGAACCTACACATGAAGATTGTCCTAGCACAATCTGGTACTATAAACATCACTGCAGGCATACATGATGATCAAATAAAGTATGCATGATCATGCCATCATAATTTCATAGATATTAACATCATCCAATAATACTTGTATTCATAAGTAAAAACATGACAGAATGTAAAAACACCTTACCCAAGCAATTATGAAAACTAAATAAGTACATATATATATATATATATATGCTTGAAAACAAAGCCCACTCGCTGATACATGATAGGGTCGTAGCTGCTTTACCTGGCTTGACCTCTGTAATCCTCGAGATAAGTCTCCACCATATGGAAATCATTATACTAATTATTAAACTACCCAAAACTTGTAATTACTAAGGAAAGACTTGAAATTCCCTTTGTTTGCTTAAAAAGAAGCTGAAAGTGCTTAAAACATGGCTCATGCGCCTCCACACACCACCACACGCAGGCTGATAGCCGTCATGCTCACGCACGTGTCGGTGGTAGAATATTGTCGTCGTTGGCCCAAATCTAGAAGATTTCGGTTATCGTACAAAATACATAATATTCGGTTGTTTCTTCCTTTCGCCAGTTACCAGAGCCGCCGCTGACCTCCGTCAGTCGCCCGGTATTTCTCCGAATTTTTTCACAGAGATATAACAAGGTAAAGATTCATCTTTTTTTCACGATATTTATGTCAAAATGAAGATTATACCTATTGGGAATCCAAAAGATGGCCGAAAATGGCTTGAAACTGGCCGAAAAGGTTTCGAATCTCTTCGAATCCGTACAGATCCGAGCATGAAATGCTTGAATTTTGAACAAGGGATGATGGTGGGTTGATTGGTGACTCCAACTTGTCAAACTCGACGAGATTAAGTCGGAAAAGCTCGTCGAAGTTCTGCAAAACTCGTCGGAAATTGCAAAGGAGAAAACTTTCTTTGATTTGCATCAAAATCTCATCGTTTTCAACACAAATCTTACACTACTCAACACGAGAAAGAGATTGATAGTCGTTAGAAGCCTTACCTTCGTTGGAGCATGGCGAGAACTTGACGAGAAATTGGAACCTCATCGGAGCTCGTTGTATTGTATCGGCCTCTAACTTGGTTTCTCACAAAGCAAAACTCAAATTTGAGTTCGTGGTTGTGAGAAGATGAAGGTGGTGGTACTTAGGGAGCTCAGTTCATTAGGGAATGGAGGTGTGACAATATGAGATGTTCATGCTATACTCTGAATTTGAATCAAACATATCATAAGACAATAATGAACCTAATCAATGATTGTGATCCACAATATTAAACAATGTTCTAAAAACCGGCCTAGGTGACGTTTAGGAGCTGGTCTGTGAGGTGCTGTCCCGATTAGTTGCTAACTGGTGGACAAAAGTGGGGAGGTGTTAGGCGGTCCTTTTTTGTTTTTCTCGCATACTCTCGCACTTGCAGTCATTGTTTTCCCCGTCGTCTTACACCTCTGGTCGCATCGAGTCACCGACCTCAGATTTCCTGACGAAATCTGAGTGAAAGAGAGAGAGGGAAAGAGATAGGGAGGGAGAGAGAGAACGATCTCTCCAGAGAGGGAGGGAGGGAGAGATCTCTGCAGTCTGCACAGATTGAGATAAAAGAGAGAAACAACAGAAGAGATTTGAGAGAGAAATAGGGTGGGTGCGGCTAATGTTTGCTAGTGTTAGTAGATTTTTTTTAATTAAAGTTTTGTGGCATTTTTTTTTTAAAGATTTATAGCAAACCCAACTTCAAATTTATTAAAAAATATAATAAGGCCCAATAATAGCTTAAAACTTATGGTCTTTAAAAAAAACACTCTAAAATTTATACAATACATTGTATTTATAATAAATATTTATTTATTTTTTCAATGAGTATAATTTTTTAGTGTAAACATCCACCTATTTATATATCATATAATAAATTTAGTTAAAAATTACAAATCCAATTAGTCCATCTAGGCACTAGGCTCTAGCCTGTCCCCCGACTAGTGTCTAGTTTTTTAGAACCATGTTGTTAGAAGCGTTGCATTGTTTGTCATGTCAAAATTATTTTGCATATATCACGAATTTTAGGTGGGAGATGTTCTCTGTACGAACAATGAATTTGTATCAAACTCTGTACAAACAGTGAATCTGGATTTCTTTTCATCCAGATAAACCGTTCATGAATCAGTATACATAGGAAGTCTAATTTATTGAACATTCTGAGTGGATATCGTAACTAGCATGAAATGTAAGGATAATACTTGGATATTCATTGATGAATACTTACCTTTTGATTTTATCAAATGATTTTTTAGCACATGTTTTATTGTTTTAAAAAATAATGGACATATTTTTTTTTTACTTTAAAAAATAAGAAACATGCGACTTTTTTTTTTTTAATAGGCTAAATCAGATAGTGAGTGTATATTACTATATACAATATATAAGCTAAATCAGAAAGTGAGTATATATAGTACTTACTAGGAGTACCTAAGTTTTATCCAAAGTATAATGCTTTGCATGTATAGAAAATTGTTATATGTTCCGGTTAGATATAATAAGCCATTAACTTATAATTAAGTGCTTTATCATACATTCATTTTAGCCGCGTAATAGTAGTAACAATTAATTTTCATGTTTTGTAAGTGGGAACTCTATTATTCTATCGCACATCATCTTGAGTTGTCCTCTTGCAAAATAGGAAAGTATTACGGATGAGAAAACCTAATTGGGTTGTGACAAAGTGGTTGCTCTAATTAAATTACAAGCTTAATGTGATATCTATAGAGAAACATGCTCGATCCTATCCAAGACATCTCCCAGACCCTAGTAATACTCGCTTGCTCACTTGCTCTGATCATTTCTTTCTTTTGTGAGGTTAGTGTTTATAGGATCTTTTTACTTTTTATGTTTCATTGGTT